TCCCCGGGGGGACCCAGCGCGGATCCAAGAATTCAGCGTGGAGCGCCAAAAGCGTATGTTTATGCCATTTGTTCTTCTTCTAGCTTCCCCTTCCCCCTCCTCCCGACCTCCCCCCTCCCCGCCGTCGCCAGAGTTTATGCGTATGCCGCTGCTTCTTATTCTAGCTTCCCCTCCCCCCTCCTCCCGACCTCCCCCCTCCCCGCCGTCGCCAGAGTTTATGCGTATGCCGTTGCTTCTTCTTCTGGCTTCCCCCCCCCCTCCTGCCGACCTCCCCCCTCCCCGCCGTCGCCAGGAGTTATGCTATGCAGTTGCGTTCTTTCTAGCGTCCCGCCCTCCCTCTTCTCCCGACTCCCTCCCCCTCCCCGCCGTCCGCCAGAGTTTATGCGTATGCCGTTGCTTCTTCTTCTAGCTTCCCCTCCCCGCCTCCCCCCTCCTCCCGACCTCCCCCCTCCTCCCGACCTCCCCCCTCCCCGCCTCTCGACCTCGGAGCAGGACGAGCGGCGCTGCCTGGAGCAGGAGCAGCGGTCCCGCGAGCAGGCGCTGAAGCAGCAGGTCGCCGCTCTGGAGGCGCAGGCGCCACCTCTTCCCTCCTCCGTCCTCTTCCTCCTCCTCCTCCTCCTCCTCCCTCATCATCATCATCCTCCTCCTCCTCCGTCCTCATCTCCTCCTCCTCCTCCTGCCTCCTTCTCCTCTAGCCCAGTGCACGTGCTCTTCCTCCCCCTCCTCTCTATCTCCTCCCTCCTCCTCCTTCCTCCCTCCTCCTCCCCTCCTCTCTCACTCCTCACTCCTCCTGCCTCCTATTCTCCTCCCCTCCTCCTCTTCCAGGCCTCCTCCTCCTCCTCCTCCTCCTCCTCCTCCTCCTCTCCTCCTCCTCCCCCTCCCTCCTCCTCCCTCCTCCTCCCTCTCCCTCCTCCTCCCTCCTCCTGCTCCTCCTCCTACCTGCTCCTCCTCCTCCTCTCCGCCTCCTCCTCCCTCCTCCTCCCTCCTCCTCCTCATCCTCCTCTCCTCCTCCTCCTCCTCCTCCTCCTCCTCCTCCTCCTCCACCTCCCTTTCCTCCTCCTCCTCCTTTTCCTCCTCCTCCTCCTCCTCCTCCTCCGCCGCCTCCTCCTCCTCTCTTCCCCGAGTCATGGATGGCCAAGGGAAAATCAGCACGGAGGTGATTGTCGTTGTTCTCGAAGTTAGAAGAACGGCATATACATATACTTTTGGCGCTCCGCGCGGATCCAAAAAAGCCCTCGCAGAACGCGAGCAGTTCATGTTTATGTAGTTTGCTTCTTCCACTAGTATCGATGTTCGGCCCTCTGGGGGTGCTTACTGGATCCAGGGGCCGTCAAAGATGACTCGGGACGAAGAGCCGGCCCTGGGGAGGACTGGTTGGGACTTCCGGAGGCCGCGTGCTTCAAAAACAGGGCATCGCATGTCTGGGGCCTCGCCGGCTCCTCGCAGGTTTGGGGCCGCTGACGGCACCACCACCACCACAGCATTTTGTTTCTTCCGGTACTTCGCCACCGGGTTCTTGTACAAGGCGTTCCTTTGCATGCACATCGCCTTCGGCACCGCCTGAGTCCGGGGCTTTGCCCCCTTTTGGCCTTGACGTGAGGCCCCTCCTTCCGCCTTCCCCTCTCCTTCAATTAAAGCTGTGCGCGGCCCGCTTAGGGTCGACCGGAAGAGGTTCGCTCTCGCCCCGCAGATCAAAAAAGTGTTTCAAAAACAGGGCATCGCATGTCTGGGGCCTCGCCGACTCCTCGCTTTTCTGCCTGGGCCCCAACCTCGGGGCGGCCGATCCTGCGGCAAGACAAACCCTCACGAGGGTTCCACATCCGTGTCCTACGTACCTCCTGGTGTATGACTTCCTGCTTGATTGCTCCTTGGAGGCGCAGGCGCCAACATCTCGCGCTGCTCTGTGCCAGGATGCGTTGCGTGGGCAACGCCAGCGATCTAGACGAATGATATATCAAGGCTCCGGATATCCGAGGATCTGTTTTTGCTTCAATCCTGGCGTGTTTCCTCGATTTCGGCCTCCGGAGCCCCTTGTCGGACCCTGGGCCCACCAAAAATCGATCCGAGACGCAAGACTACGCCCAGGACGAGGGCCCGACCTCCTGGGGCCGCGGACACCCATGCCCGCGTCGTGGCAAAGCACGACGGCACGTTTTTGTTGCCGTTGTCGACTTCTGGGGGCTTCTGGGGGCCCTCGTCGGGCCTCTCGGGACCTTCAGACACGACCTGGGATGAGGAGCCAGGCACGGGGAGACGGTCGAGACCCTCGGATGGGTGGTACCGGGGGGGCAACCCACATGGGGGATGAAAATAGCGGCCCTAAAGGGGCCCTTTGGGTCCCCTTTCGGAGCCAGCAGAGTCCCGAAATGGCTCCCCCCAGTGAGGCCACCCGGACCCCCATTGCCACCTGCCCGGGATCTCCGGGGGCCCGTGTTGCATGTGTGTATGCATGTATGCACGTATGCATGTACGCACGTATGTATGCATGCATGCATGCACGCATGTATGCATGCATGGATGGATGTATGCATGCATGCATGCACGTATGTACGTGTGTATTGCTGCATGCCTGCCTGTCTGCCTGCCTGCCTGCCTGCCTGTATGTGTGTATGTGATTAAATGTAATGTAATGTAATGTATTGTAATGTAATGTAATGTAATGTAATGGAATGAAAAGTAATGTAATGTAATGTAATGTAATGCAATATAGTGTACTGTACTGTACTGGAATGGAATGGAATAGAATGGAATGTAATGGAATGGAATGGAATGGAATGGAATGGAATGGAATGGAATGTATGTGTGTATGAGTGTGTATGTGTTTATGTGTGTATGTGTAAACGTATGAATGTGGGTGTGTCGGTGTGTATGTGTGTATGTATGTATGTACGTCTGTACGTATGTATGCATGTAGGGAGTAGGTAGGTAGGTAGGTAGGTAGGTAGGCAAGTACCTTTTATAGACGACACTTATGGGTTACACATCGATTACATACATATGCACATGCATGCGAGCCTATGCATACATTTGCAAGTTTATTCGCACATAAATGCATATTCATAGGTCTGCAGATCTACACAATAATATATGTATATGCATGTTGACACGTGTGTGTAAACATTACGAGTGATATCATGTTGCCTCCTGCCGTGTTGCGTGTTCCTGGCACCTGCCCACCCCGAATCACCCTGGTCGTCTTCTACTCTTTGACGCGTCTGCTTCTCGCTGCCGCATTATCTGCAGCTTGTTGGCCTAGCTTAACTTATTAGAGCATCGCTCTGCCATCCTTTCCCAAATATGAGTATGAGCCAGCTGAAGCTGTCGCGCCCAAAGCCTGGCGAGGGAAGAAGGAAGAATGGGAGGGATGAGGAGGAGGACCGAGACATCTGAGAATGTGATTCTCTCAATCCCATTTTTCTGTTCTGGATTCATCTTGGGTGGCCCCAGGACCCGAAAACAGGCCCTGGTTGACGAAATGCAGGGAGAATGCCGGATCGAAAATATCAATCCGCCCGAAGTACGGGGAGATACCGTAATGTAAGGCTCCGCTGAGACAAAGGTCAGATGATCTGGGGAGATCATAGCACATCCCAGCACCCCACAAGTGGGGGGCGCCAACGACGGGGCCGTTCTGCGTGCGTCGGCACACGGCCGATCGCTCACAGAGCCACCGCACACGGGAAACATCAGAACACCACATGTCCAGGCCCGCTTCTTGGTACCTGTGGATGCCGGTCGCGCCGCATTGCCTACTGCGGCCCTGGTGGACGAAATCATATCTGACCCGAGCGGAAGCTGCCAATCGGGGGCATTTCACACGAGGACTGGGCCAGGAACGACGCGGTGGACCTTTTCGCCGACGCCGGGGCGCAAGCCCCGGCCCCCGCCGCCGGCGTTTCTCCAGCAGCGCACGCGGCAGCTGGAGGCGCTCGCGGCGGTCCAGCGCGCGGCGGCCGCCGTTGAGCTGGCCGCCCTGCAGGCCAACCACGACGGCGTTCCGCCAGGCGGGCCCAGGGTGCGGCGGCGCTGGGCGGCGCCCGAGCGCCGCCGCAGGCGGGCGCCCCAGGAGGGGGACGCGGCGGCGGTCGCCGCCGCTGCGGCACCGCCGGCACGGGCGCGGCCTCGGCAGCCCGAGGCCGCCGCGCCTCCTGCGCGCGGGGGAGGCCGCCGCGGCGAGGGCGCTGCGCGCGGGTGGTGCGCGGCAGCCGCACGTGGCGGCGCGGGGCCCCCGAGTGGGGGGCGTTGGCTTGCGCTCGCGAGCCGCGCGGCAGCCTTGCCCCCCGCGCTGCCGCCGCCCGCGGCCGTCCGATACTGCTGCCGCCAGCGAAGCCTGCCTGCGGCCTGCTGGGCGCCCTTCTGCGCGCTCGCGGCCGCGGGCGCGGCCAGGCGCTCCCCCGATGGAGCCCGGCGGCTCGCACCGGAGCCGCCTCGCGGGGCGGCAGCGCGGCCGCCGCGCTTTGCCTGTCGCCCTCGTCGTTGTCCTCGGTCGTTTCGTCACCCTGCTGTTGGGCTCAGCTTTCGCGCTTGTCAGAGAGCGTGCCAGGCCCAGCCTCGATGCGCGCCCCCGCGTGCTGGCGCACGCGGCGGCGTGCACGAAGCTGGTCTACGGGGGGCATCATCCACAAACGGTCCTCCTCCTCCTCCTCCTCCTCCTCCTCCTCCTCTTCCTCCTCCTCCTCCTCCTCCTCTTTCTCTTTCTCTTTATCCTCCTCCAGCTCCAGCTCCTCCTCCTCCTCCTGCTCCTCCTCCTCCTCCTCCTCCTCCTCCTCCCCCTCCTCCTCCTCTCACTCCTTGTCCTCCACCTCATCCTCCGCCTTCTTCTCCTTCTCCCCCTCCTCCTCCTCCTCCTCCTCCTCCTCCTCCTCCTCCTCCTCCTCCTCCTCCTCCACGTCCTCCCGTTCCCCCGTCCGCATCCCCAACTGGGAGACGGGTGGAAACGCGGGGAAGAGAAGAGGTGAGCCGGAAGAGGGAATCTGGGGAGCGCAGAGCCCCCCAGAGGCTCTGGAGGCGTCTGAGGAGCCCAGAGGCCAAAAGGTGTCCCCGAAACCTTGAGGAGGAGGAGAAGGAAGAGCAGCAGGAGAAGGAGAAGCAGGGAGAGATGGAGGGGAAGAGGGCGAGGTTGAGGAGGAGGAGCAGGAGGAGGAGGAGGACCAGAGTAAGCCCAGAATGCGTGAAGGATGCTGTAATACACCCTCCCGCTTCAGGTCCCTTCATGAGTCCCTGCATGAATTCTTTTCCATTGCGGGAAGCGCCCCCTTGAATGACGAGCGCTTGGTGGGCCTACCACCCAGACGAGACCCCGTTATGGATCCGTTTTGCATGTCTCCCAAGCAGCGCTTGCACTTAAGAGTTTTTTTCGTTCCTAAGAAACTGGGTAGGCCCAACTGGGCTGGCCCGTCGGTATGGCGGCTGTGCGTTCGCCTGCGTCGCCCCGTCGCCGCCTTGTCGCCGCCCGTCTTCTGGGCCTGCCCGTTGGTCTGGCGGCTATGTGGTCGTCGTCGTCGCCGCCCCGTCGCTCTGGACATGCCAGTCGGTCTGGCAGCTATGTGGTCGCCATCACCGCCCCTTCGCCG